CTCCCATTTACCATTCATCACACTACTCAAGTTCATGTACCAACGAAGTTGAAAGACGCTAGTGGGAAATGGACACTGCAAAGGCATAAAACGTACTCTTTTTCTTATCAACCGATAGCAGGCTGTACAAACAATAAGTAGATCAAAACACAAACCTGACGAAAACATCATGCCACGAAAAAGAAATTGCGTACTAGATCGCTAAAACCAATTCATGAATTTGTCAAGGTTTGTTTTATTTTTTACCAAACTAAAAAAAGCAAAATACGGTGATAAATCTTAAACATCTAATTATTGGCGATAAACTCAAATCCAAAACTGAGAAAAAATAGTCAGAGATCATCAGAATTGTAGTTTAATTTCATCCTACCTGTTGAAGTTCAGCAGGTCTGAGTTGTGCCTTGAATGTTATCATACATAAGAAGGTATATTAGTAGACTAGGAGCTGAGTGAAGACAACATAATATTCGTCATTTCTGAATAAGTCAATATACGATATGCACAAGTATTAACCTTACATTGTACCTATGAGTAAAGTTACATAGTTATTTCATCTACTGAAAGTAAACTTAAATATTTCCACTATAAACGTCAGTTTAATCAATTCCAATTTATTATTCCACAGTGAACATGAATATCCTTCTTTGATTTTTTTAAAACTTTAATTTTAACAGATGCAGCAACAATTTTTCGAAGGTAACTTTCTTAAACTGTGTTAATTACAAAAAAATGTTGAAGTATTCAGCAAATATAACTGTACACCGTACACGAAAAGCTCTTGTAAATGTAAATTATTTTTTAATCAGGATATGTACTGTTAGCATAGTTATATGCAAATTTATGATTATATAAGTTACATTTTAAACTTGAGCGTGTCTATATTGTGAATCACAAAGTTCATGGTTCGCGTCTCTTTTGTCATAGAAACGTGCTCTGCACTTTTGGACCCTAGATTCGCTTTAAGAGAGACTATTATGTCCCACTATTCGGTCACAGTAGCCCAAAAGTTGGTGGCGGGTGCTTTTGACAAATATTTTTCCTCTAGTCTAACAGTTCGAAATTCTATAGGAAGGCTATGTGCAGATAGTCCTTATACAGTTTGCGCAAAATTTCTAAATAAAAGGTAAGTTTTGTTTCATTACCAGCTCTGTGAGTTAAGAATTGAAGCTTGTTCAGAATAATGTTTTAATCATTCACACATATTTTCGTAATCTAGCTGCTTTACTTGGTTAATCACAGCTTAATCCGGATTAAAGAACCGTCTTAAATAACTAAATTATATATAAACTGCTTGGTATACTTGCATGACACTTGATATGCAAACTTAGATTCAAACGCATGAGGTTACAACATTATTTACCAAACTGTTTTTCACAGGTTTGGCGCTAGTTTTCAGCCTGCGTTATAATATTTTACTAGTTTCAATACAAGTAATCCGTAAATTGAGTCTACATCAGATATAATTTAATTATTTTATTTTTTACAAAGAAATGTTTGTTGGAGTTTGACAATTATAACTTGTTTTGCTTCGCTTTGAAACTTATGGATGATTTGGTCTCAGACAATTACACGAAGATATTACTAATGACTGTAATGTGAATTTGACAATATTTGATAAACATTTAACATTCCGGATAATGGATTTTCTTATAATTCTTCTCACTAGTGATGATACTTAATTTCTTCAAATACTCTTTTTTTCAAAGATTAGTCGCTTCAAAACGGGTAACATATTATTCATCTTTTTTTATGGCTAAATACATCAACGTTTGTTCGTTAAAAGCTCTATTCAGCATTGTTCTAACAGACACTAGTGCAACAATTCGTTACACGCTCTGTTCAGCATTGTTCTAACACACTAGTGCAACAATTCGTTACAAGCTCTGTTCAGCATTGTTCTAACAGACACCAGTGCAACAATTCGTTACAAGCTCTGTTCAGCATTGTTCTAACAGACACTAGTGCAACAATTCGTTACACGCTCTGTTCAGCATTGTTCTAACAGACACTAGTGCAACAATTTGCTTATAATTCTCTATAAAACGGACCTAATATCACTGGTACGCGAAAGAAAATAATGTAAAAATTACGAAATTTGTAGTAAAACCAATTGAGTTTCCCGCGTACAATATACACACTACTCTCTTCCTTTCTAGCCTCGCCAGTGTTTTCTGCTCTTCAAATTGAGAAAAATCACACCATATATTCTTCAACTGTACCAGAAATAAATGATCACATCTTTCCCATTAATTGGTAAGTGTTTAGCATATCAATTTTTGCTACTAGGTTTTTAGTTGTTGTTTTTTTAATTAGGCCTGGTTTTGCACATCAAAAGAAAACAAAAAACAGTTCCAACAAAAAGTGGTACGCGAGCTTGGAAAGTTTGAGAACCTGTGCGCTATAACATCTGCTGAGACTGGCAGAATACACAAGCATAGATATGTTGTAACGGGAGACATCAGGGTATATGGAGAATATGCACTGCTGTCTATAAGTTTATGAAAGTTAAAGCAGCGTCGTTAACATCTTTATTTCTTAAAGAAACTTTATTTCGGGATCTTGGGAAGTAGCAGCGTATCTTCTGATTGAACTGTAATCGGTCTGAGTTTATATAGCAATTATTAAACATAACTTTGACCAGTTTTCTAGTGTCTGTTGGAAGTGAAATGATATAGAGGATACTGGTATTAACCAACTGTATTTATCCGCTGAGCTTGCTAGCATCGTGCAGCTCGACGGACTTACCATAGGAGGAGTGATCTCGCTGTTGTTTGAAGTAATATGTTGGCTACCTGCACTAAATGTCCCTAATTTTAAACTGATAGACTAGAGTGAAATCTGCTAGTCAATAGCACCTACCGCCAACTCTTGGGCTACTCTGACCAAATAGTGGACTTGGATCGTCGCTCTAGAACGCGCCCACGACCCCAAAACTCGGAGCATGTTTTTAAGCTAACGGGGTGCGAACCATGAATTTTCAGTTTTGTATGTTACTTGAGCTGTTCGTTTGTACAACTTAAATCGTGGCTAATATTATATTGGGTTGATTAATAAATACTACACACGTATAATTTATGTGTAAAGTGCAATACCGAATAAAAAATATATTATTAACTTATTTTGTTTCTGCTAATCGTCAATAAACCGGGTTAGTTAGGATTTTTCGACTGTCCCTTGTTTGTTACAACCTTACTGGAAGACGCGTGGACACCGTCGTCATTACCACATAATAAACGGGTGGTAAATTTACGACTTTTTTGTATCCCTTTGCTCTTTAACCTCGTCGACCTAATATAATTTACGGTCATTGCAAAGAGAGAAGATATAAAGTACAACGCAGTGATTTAATAAAAAATCTCATTAGCTCGGATCTTTAGAAATTCCGGGAGTGCTGATTCTAAAATACCCGGATGTTTCTACATTACGTCTTAGAAGTCGTAGACGTAGTAATGATCGTAGAACCTGCTCCGAAGCACATGGCTGTTATGTTCATACTCAGACACATACGTTAACTCACGTGATTCGAACATGTGGTGCCTCACAACATGAGTGATGCCGTGAAAAAAAAGTTAAATTGGCCAAAAGGTTATTGATAACAAGATCCGGGTTCTTACAGTTTCTTCTCTTTTTATATATAATGGGAGGTAGAGGTCAGCATTCCACCTGAAATCATGACATTATAAGAATATTCTGTCTATAAAATTAAGAAGAAAAAAAAAGGCCCTGGCAACAATGTTAGATTTAACATAAATATTTTATCAAATAGGATATTTAACGTTTTTTGGCATTTCTTCTCAAGTTCATTGCCAACAAAACATTTCGACAACATTACCAACAAAAGGCCCAAACTAGTTGGAATTAAAGTCTTAACGGGGAGGGGAACTACAATGATTGAGTTTAGCGTATTTGGGGTCGGTCAGTATTTTTGCAAACCAAGAATTTTTACACTCGGGTGGCTGACTCAATCGGCAACTGCATAGGACAAGCACGGATACTCGAACTCGTAACCCTCAGATTGTGAGTCGAACACCTTAACCATCATGCCATGCTAGGTCCACTGTGGTGATATAACCACAAATTACGTGATACGTTAACGTTTTTCATTAAGCTTACTATTCAGAAATATGTATAAAAGTAATACAACTACTCTCTACTTAACAAATATTGAAATTATCGAAACATACATGTATCGTTATATATATCAATAATCTCTGTACTTAGCTAATGAGTCAGTATTTCGGTAGATGTAATAGTGTAGGATTATTGTATAAACGTCTCATTAATAAAGAAAACTAACTTGGTTTAATATGTGATGACATGCGTGTGACACATGATAAATTATTCATGAAACGTGGGTGAAAACATTATGTATATATATATAAAACAGTAGCTGTTGTTGATCGTTAAGCCTATATCTTTGTCCACCACGAGGAGTCGAACTCCGGATTTTAATATTATAAGCCTGACGCATTCTGCTGAGCCACTGGGGAGGGGAAGATTGGTTTAACACAGGTAGAGTGAGCCCACACACAAAAAAGGGCCAGGATGAGCGTTTATTTTTTCACATTTTCCTCAAAAGTTTTAGGATTTCCAAAGGTAAAGTTTAGCAGTACAAAATCACAACACTGAAAGACACCATTGATTACAACGAGACATGAACCAACACTTTTAACAGAATCATCCAAGTTTCATTTAATACTAACAAAAATCAGGTTTTCATTGTGCCAGAAAAACAACAACAAAAAAAACACATTCACATCCTTCCCATTTTGGGCAAGGCCCCCAGTGGCACAGTGGACTTACAACGCTAGAAACTGGTTTCGATACCCGTGGTGGGCAGAGCACAGATAGCTCATTGTATAGCTTTGTGTTTAACTACAAACAAATAAACAATTATGGGTAAATGTTAAAAAATATTAACTTTTGTTAGTAGGCTTTTTACTTTTTTTTAAATTAGGCATGGGTTTGTACTAGCTAGGACGAAAAAATCACTAGACGTGTAGCATATAAGATAACAGTGTTTATTTAACTGTACAAACAAACATATTAAACATTGCAAAATAACATGAGACACATATTTATCAAAATCATACAAATCAAAACCAGCCGAAATCTTGCACTAAAAAAGTGTTTAACAGCAAAATAGTTCATTCGTTCATTAACTGACCCATTTTGTAACGTTATATAATAATTTACACAGTTGTGATAAATGTGCATTCTACTCGTACATATATACACAGACTTACAATATCAACTGCCTTATGTACAAAACAAACTGCTGTCTATTACCAAAAAACCGAAATTTTACTATATACAAATGTATTATTTTCTTTAGGAGTACACTAGAACAAAGAAAACAAATCTAACTTACTAATGGACTTACAAAATCGCTTAGCATTACTAATAATTAGTAAATGTCGAATTCACATAATCTTCAAAAATATGTACAATTAAGCGTAAAAATGTATTTAAATATTCTGTATTATACATCCAACACAAATCATAAAATCCTCGGTCGAGCCGAGTTTGGCACACAAGATGGATTAACATAATACAGTATTTAGGACTTATTATAAGTTAGTAATTCTTACTTTAACCGAAGAAAAAAAATGTTTATTTTCTCCACGACCAGTAACATGGCAGTTCTAATACCTTAAAGTAAAATATTCACATTTTTACTTTAGAAATTTCTAAGCGAACTAACAATAACACAGATCCAAGTTTCAACGGTCGTGCGAATCAACAAAAACACTTGTAGCCAAGGGAAAGTAAGCTTTATTTGTTCAGCATTCGTTAAGGTGTTGTGTAAACACACATTGTCGTTGCACATATTTTATTCGAGCCTTTAAATGATACAGCTCCCAGAAAAAAACCCAAAAAAACAAGACATATTTTAATGGTCACGTATCGGTAACAGTATCAATTAGTAACATACAATAAGAAGCATTCATAAAGCTTTGAAACTACATAAACTTTATTAAACCTTTTATGTATCTGTATGTAGTTAATTAATTATTGTAAGATGCGGACTGTCAGCTAACAAAAGCAAACTTCCAACACACTAGATACAAATTTAATTATATCCTTTTGCTTGGAATTCTGTATGCGCTTTGTCATGAAGTATTACTTCAAGTAAATATAAAGTGTCTAATAAATGATATTGTACTCTTATTTACTATAATCAAAAGTATGAATGAACCCATTCGCAAAGTACACTGAAGATATGCATGTGTACTACACAAAGTCGGTCAATAATATTTGCGTAATCAAGTTGTTCAAATTAATCTGTACCCGACAGTCTATTCAAGTGAAACCTGGTCTAACACATGTGCAACACGTTACTAATAATGTAGTTTTGTTATAGCCATTTATACTTACATGTTGCTTTATGGTCACATTAGTTCGCTTTCACACATGAAGGTATATAGTTTATAATAACATGTGCTACAATGTAAAAATTTAGTACTTGTTGGTCGCAAGATGCTTCTACTCTACAGCTAATGCCAGCATTCAGCCCGAGCGCAGAATGAATGGAAGTTCCAGGATTAAACATTGGTGAGTTTAATCCAAAGATCACTTAGTTCAGAGTCAGCTTGTAGTATATTATGTAGTGGGCTATCCTGAAATAATATTTAGTGTATAGTTAATCCAAATTTTGATCATAGTAGCTTTCTGGTCGAAGTAGACAGCATGTCTGAAAGAGTTGCTTACATCTGGTTGCTTTTATTTAGAATTATAAAAAACTTGTATAGATTGACCAGGTAGCTAATTTGTTGACTGTACATATGAACATAATAAACTGTGGTGTAAAATGAAAGTAGTTTAATTTAAGTCCTTCTATATTAAAACAAGTTAGTTAAGTACTGACGAAATATATTATACATCACAGTTTACCTATATCTGAAAAGGTCTATGTTTGGAAATGAAACTGCTAGGTAGAAATAGATTTTGCATACATCATGTTCATTCACAGCTTCCGATTGGTTCAAAAATATGTTTATAATTCTTCACAAGTAAAAAATGATTTTTGGAAAATTTAGTGCTGAAAATTTGAAATATATAAAATGTTTAGTTATGATTTTATGTTCAACTCTGACTTTGCATCAACACATCTTGGCTAAGAGTATAAAATACCCTGAAACAAAGTGTTACAGAACAAAAACTGATACCACATTTGGACTTTACAACATGAAAATGCTTAAGAATGTTTTCTCTAATAGAAAATCAAGTCAGACCTTTTCCTTAAAGGGTTGAGCAAATCTTGAAAGATGAGTTTGTTGTTTTTTTAGAATCTTCTCCTAGACTAAGTATTTCAACTCTTGAAATGGAAGATCTAGAAGATATTTTAACATGGTTGCTACAGAGAAAGCAAATTTTTATTGGCATGTTTTCTCTCTGGTAGACTACATTCCAGAATGAAGAGTACTGAAATTTTTCTGTCAAATGATAAAATCAGTTTTCATTGAAACTAAGTATATTATTTAAGACTTATGTTTTATTCAGTTGATAAAATATACACATATACTATTGCTCGTATGTTTGATGAATTATTTTAATACAACCAAGCAATAGTACTATATGTCAGATCACAATTTAATTTTATGTTGTACAGTCGACTAGTAGGTTGGATGAAAACTTGGACCTGTGTTAGAACAATGATCACATTCTTGAAAACTGTCATGTTGTCACCCACTATCATATGGCATGAAGAATGCATGCAATCATGGTAAAGAAAGCACTGTCTGATTGTAAAGTTGGTTATAAACTAGATCCCACTAACTTGATTAAATGTACACAGTTTAAAAAGTTTTTTCTCAACAAAGTAAACACAAAAACTTAAACAGATTTAATAACCAATGAAAAAAAAAGTCTTAAAGAATATAATTAATTTTATTACTGAACATGCCTGTCTATATGAACTGACTATTAATGAAATTTTTACATACAAAGATAAGCTGTATATTATTAAAAACATTAACACAAAATATTTTCTTAACCCTTAGCTTATATTTCAAACTACTGTATATTTCCATGGATTGATCTTATATTATTATTTCAAGACATAATATTCTATTGCAAGTCCTACATAATTCCATAGATTTATTAAAAAGGTGTGATGTAGAGCATTAAAAAATTTCAAATTTAATGTATTTTACTAAGTTGACCTTAGGAGAATTACACAGCAGCCTTACAAGACCAACACAAACTAAGTTAATTTACTTATCTACTTAATCTGAAAGATGAACAAGAAAGAGGAAATCAAGTTTGGCTTAAATGCTCATTTTTAAATGATCACATACATTGCATGATTCCTTCATGCAGAACCTGTATTGAATAACAAATTATCATTACATGGATTAGTTCACATTAATCCACCTTCTAAGGAGAACATTTATCATTTTTAATTCCTCAAGTAACTACAACCACAAGGTTTGATCCATAGATATAATACAGTATGTATATGCACAACATATTCATAAGCAAGCTCGGTAGAGTTCATACAAGCTTGACATTTTTTCAATCTAAGAGTTTCAACGCTATCCCACTTCCCCAAAACATCAACATAATGTAATTTCTGACATTTTATTTCAGATTACAAGTGTCAAAATAAAAATAACCCAGAATGCTGCTGGGTTAGGTTTGAATTTCTTTTTCATTAGTAAACAAGAGTTTGTATACCTTGACAATAACAATGTAATCCTACTATTGAAGCATACCAAAGTCATCATAATTAAAAACTTTTTACATGATTTGAAAATAAAAAAAATATATTCCATCTTATTTTTAAGAGAAACACTAATTTAAACAATAACAGTTTGTCTTATCTTTGTTAGTGATACAAAATGCACAAATAATCAAAATCAAATATTTTGACAGTTGTATAAAGTGTATGTAGAAAGCGAGAACACATTTTCTAGATTTTAAAAGTTATGGCATTTGCTGAATCTTTTAGTTAGTTTTAGTAAAATAAGATATAGTACATTGAATATCATTTCCTAAGAAGCATAAGAATGAAAAATATTAAAAACATACAAGTACTAAACCTAAGCCCAAATTTGCTGAAGTGAGAGAAACAATCTGAGAACTTTTAATGCCACTATTTTCCCACACCTGGTGTATCAGTGAGTGGTTCCTGAAGGAATGCATTAACTACAAGAGAACATCTCAAAACATTCTAATGACTTATAACAGCAATACTTTTCTCGTCTCATCTCTTTCATTCAAGTGAAGAATCAATGACCAAACCACAAGGATCAACATATGCATTTAGCAAGTACTACATAAACATTTTTCTGATAAATCACATAAGCTATACTTTGCTCTTATTCTACGTGGTCTCTCTATTTTTTGTTGTTGCACATATTTGGACAAAATGTTTCAAAAACAACAATGATAAGCTATGGTTATGATTATGTACTAATGAATGTTAATAAAGGTTTAGCTAACAGGGCCTAATCTCTTTTTTTTTAGTGCAATAGATCACTTACTTTATAGTGACAACCTTTCATGGTAGTCAATACCATGTATACACACACACACACAAACACACACACACACAAACCCATTTACAAAAAACAAAATATAAAATTTTCTTTGAAAGAAACATTCCAACTTACAGAATATATGACAAATTTTGTTGCTCCAAGTGTAAAAACTACATGATTTTGTTTTTGATCCAATGAGTGTTTGTTCTGGCATAATATAGAATTAAGTGTCTTAATTGCAATTATTTTATCACTTTAGTTTGGCCAAGTTAGTTTTGAATTAACAAATCTTTTAGGTAGCATATATATATATAATAAATGCTATTTAAAAGATATATTAATTTATACATATACATACATACTTTACAGTTACTGAAAGTTTACTATGGCACTGAATAAAGTGCAAAAGAAATACACTGCAGTGAAGCTAAAACTATTATGGAGAGTTTGAGGTTAAAATAAAATGGTAACTTCCTAATTAGACTTGAATTTCAAACCACTTTTTAAAATTCTATCCATGCATATGCTGAAATATTTTATTTGTAAAGTTTTTCATAAACAAAACTAAATGTACCTGAAAACATCAAACAGTGTGTGTGTGTGTGTGTGTGTGTGTGTATCTTAGAAGCTCATATGGATAATCTAACTTCTATATTGTACGAATCTGAAATAAATAGGTAAAAATATATGAAACCCCATATTCACCAAGGTACAAGAACATCAAACAGAACATTTTTCTTTATGATACAACTAACTGACAAAATTTTAACTTTTGCCTCATCATAAAGAACATTTCAGCATATGCACGAATGTACTTTGTAGTGGAGTAGTGATACACTGTTCATCAGTGGTGTAGTTGATGATACATGTAAGTTAACCAAATTTTTTCACTTTTCATTGGAGGAATGTGGTCCTTACCCATTACTCATTTAAGATTTTGCAAATCTTTAGCATCGGTCTCCTTCTACTAGACCCCCACTACTGCTACAGCACTGAGCTTCCTTGTGTTTTGTATTGTATTCTCCTTTTCACAGTCTTCAGCTCATTTTACTGGTTGATGACAGTATTATGGGATCTGTTGATACTAATTTGACAATCTTACAATAAGCACTTCAGAAGATGTAATCAATATGTATAGTCATTTTTAGACCTGGGATTTTTTTTAATGCTACTGTCTCGCAAACAGGTCTTCTCTTGTGTGCTACAACTAGAGTCCATGCTGTTTAAACAGTCATTTGATGGCATGTAAACATTGGAGTTTACTTTTTTCTGTAAATATTTTCTATTTCTGCTGGGATGTTTCTTGTTCATGAACATATAAGTAACAATAAAAGCTATAATAATGCCTGTAAGAAATGACCCAATGCAGAAACCAACAAGTTTTTCTGTCGATATCCCATGATCCTTGAGAGATGGCTGTGAATTCACTAGTCCTAAAGGTTGGTGAAAAAAATAAATACTCATATGTATTAAATGGTATCTAAAAGTTTCATCAGATCTTTAAATTATAGCACACTGAAATTATATAACTTTTTTTAAATCAAACAATTTGTTGCTTGAAAATTTTTAATTAAACCTCTATGTTTCACAGAAACAGCAAAGGACATGTGGTACTGTCATGAATAAAAAAGTATTTTAACTTAAATTTATAGAGAACTCCTAACATGTGAAATGCATGGAATACTTTAACACATAAAACTATATGGATGTCAAACAAAAATAACTTTTTTCTAACTATTACACAGTAGTGCTATTTCAGCAAAATCTTGGAGGAAGACAAAGTTGAACCTCAATTTCTACGAAATACATGAAATGTTTGTGACGTACCATGTATTGGAGTTTATGCATCAACGGTAATAACTATGTACATGGAAAGTTCGACTTTGTATATTTTAATATTAGTAATTTCCTATAAACGTAGCCCATTAACCAGAAATTTTATAGCATTACTGCTATTACAATTTAATAGTTACACATAATAGTATACTAAACAGAAACTAACATCTAAGTGTTGTTTTTTTTTCTTTATTGACACCTTAGCTGTTTAACCTTCAGTAACCTTCAGATACAGAATCAGAGAGATAATTATCATCAAGTTCTCTTGTCTTTCTTGAAACTGATTAAAACCTTTTCCACTCTTCCACAACCCTTAACATATTTTCTGGCTTATGTACAAATTATAAACCTTTCGTTTTTAGTTATAAATTACTGTTTTCCAATGAAAGAATGTGGACATATTAATCTTATAACAAAAGTAGCCCCTACCTGGTTGGCCAGAGATGCATAGCCTTGTTTCTTTTGTCCGGCCTTGACATTGTTCTATGTGTGGTTTACTTGTGTCACACTTTCTCCGTCTGTGCTGTTCATATTTAGAGTCACAGAGTGACCAAACAGACCATTCTTCCCATCCATCTGAAAATTCTGTTATTATCACATAACTTTAGTTTTGTAACAAAGGGTTTATTGAAAGAATTTACTATTATTCATTACAATCTTTGTATCAAAAAAATAAAAACTCAAACCAGCTTACAGCAGTGACAGTATGATCACTAAGATACAGTGCCACTTTACTGTTTACACAAGTACACTTGAATATTTACTGTTAGAGTATACAATGTGTTGAAAATAACTTCTAAAATTTTGAGTACTTTTTACTCAGAAAATTCTGGGTCAAACCAATCAATATGTTTTCATACCTAACATCTGTTCATTCCTATCTATAAAACCAATAACCATAACATATTGCTGGATAAGTAATTGTGCCAAGTTGGTTAAGCAATTCATTTACAATTTTTTAGAGTAAAAAATTTAAATTTGCATAAGTGTGTCTTTTTATTTACCTGTTTTAGGTTTGTTTAAGGTCTGCCAAATTCATTATAAACAACTAAAAGGTTCCAAATAGATGCCAAATTTTACAATGTAAATTAGATCTATAAAAAAACTAAAAGAATTGAAAAAAAAATTAACACATGATATTCAAACTGATTTATCTGAACTCAGTGGTACAAACAATATTAAACAACTTTTTATAGTAGGAAAAACATTAAGTAAATGTAAACAATAATTATTCATTAAATTACTAGCAAAATAACTCAGGTACTTAAAGCCATGGGCAAAGATCTTCCGAAATGATTAAAAACATAAAAATTTTGCAACAACCCCATTCTCCAACATCTAACATCAATTTTTTAATAAGTCAATGACCTCAAAATGACTATTAAATTGCAAGGAGGACTTTAAGACATTTCTGACATTTCCTATAATGCCACATATGAATAATATTTCCTTAAGCCTTAATTGTGCCAGTACTTAAAAAAAAAAATGCTAAAATAAAATCACAGTGAGAAAGAGCATAATTTGTTAAAGTGTCACTTATAGTACAGGTATTTTTTTCCATCATTAGACATATCACATAATAAACCATGGAAAATAAATTGGTATAGTTATATTAAACTCAACAGAGCTAAAGGTTTGTGTGTGGTAATGAATAAGCATTATATTTTCTACATGCATCACAGATTAAGTATTTGTACAATAAATTAATAACCAAGAAAAAACCTAAATACATTTAACTATCTCTAAGATAAAGCAAAGGCTGTGTGAAAAGGAATTTAACTTAGTAGATTGACTAAGTAAAAGTGAGCTTGAATCTTGAATGAAAGGCAGAATATGATTAGATGAAGCTTTGTGGACAGCACAGTGATGAATTCTTGTAATTCTCACATCAGAATTTCACTTATTACTTATGCTTAAATATTTTTTCATAACAGATTGACATATCACATATAAATATATATATATATATATATGGTTCCAATTTTTTAACCTATTTTTTTTCCTAAACATACATAATTTCTTTAGCAGAAAAATGTCTACCTTTACAATTTTGTAGATTACATGATCTTTCCATACGCTCATCACCTTCACAAGCTAAAACATTTTTATTAGTGCGAGGATTCGAGCAATTTCGCTCTCGTACTTGGACTCCCCCACCACAGGAACTACTGCAAGCTGACCATGCTGACCATTCTAACCACTCGGCGGAACTGCCATCAGTGTTGATATAAGCTATGATAATTCAAGAAAAGTTTATGTAATACAAGATGAATTTCTATGTTTCAGATCTTATTTTCATACATAAGTAAAGAGTCTGACTTAATCTAATGCTCATCCATAATAAAACAAATTGGTACCAGTAGGATGGTTGATCTTTCAATGATTAGTTTTGTTTAGTTTGAGTGAGTTGATAGCTATGGTGTGTTTGTATACTATGTCTTCTTTAGCAAAGAAAAAAAAAGTTTTTAATTTTTTGTAATGGTTACATCAACCTTTGACCTTTTGATCCCAAATTCTGTTTATAGCTCTAATTATCATGTGGAAAGTCAGTCAGGGAAGGGGGACAAAATTATTTTGAAAAATTCTAATGAAATAAAAAATTCAAAAGACTTAAAAAGCTCCAAATAGTTAAATTTCTTGTAGAAATATCACATCTTGTTTTAATACAAAACTAAGAGGACTGGTGTCAAATAAACTAAATTTAACCTGAACTGAACTGTGATAACCAGGTTTAAAATTAGACTTAATAAGGTGTTGTATAGATGTTCTAATGCACACAGAAAAGAGATAGGAATGAAAAATTCCCTCAGAATAATATGAAACATTTCTTGAAATGCAATTTTCGATACTTTTCTTTGATTTCAAATCACAACTCAGGTAAGAATTAGCAACAAATGGTTCCTCTTGTGATGTTGCAGCACCAGGTAGAGGGTTTGAAATGTCAGTATTAATGATGCACATTTGAAGAAAATATTATTCACCCACCACCCTCTTTTCACTTGGCAATTATAGCTTTTATCCAGTTATTGTTTAAGGTTTTGCATACCTTTAATGTATACCATGCTACTGCCCAGCCTAGATCCAACCACCCAAAAATATTAGTTTATCTTTCTTTGTTTAACAATACAGTCCTACATTATGATCATACTGGCATTCAAATGTTAATTGCTATTGCTCAGAAGTTTATGAATAATAAATGAATAAGTGTTCTTTTCAAATAACCACCAAAACTAATCAACTTCTATCAGCTCTTTAATGAAGTTTAGAATATCAAAATTACCACTATAAAAACTCCCATGATCAGACATGAAGCTGCAACAAACGACTTCAAATTCATAGTTTGCACTCATGGTTGTAATCAGAAATTCTAATGATAAGACAATGTAATCTAAAATATAAAACCTTTTAAGTACTGTCATATAGTTTATTTTAAATATAATTATGTGATATGTAGTTTTGATTAGAATGTTTAAACAAATATTAGGAAACTGCAATTCTTACCAGGATCAAAACATGTCTTTGTATCAAATAAACAAAATCGTTCTTCTGTCTTCATGTGGCCAATACGAAATAAATCTTCAGATGGCACACTAGCACGGCAGATAAATCTGAATCTTTGCTCAAAGTAACCATCTTTAGTACTGTTTACTTTTAGCCAAGGAGTCCATTTGCTTGCCTTCCTAAGCTCAGTGCATTTTTGCATTTTACACTCCTGGTTTTGGGTGGCACAGCCAATACATTCAAGTCCCCCATGTTTTGGGTAAGGGTTATTACATTTTCGTTGTCGGGTCTGAAATCCACCTCCACATTTCACATTACATTCACTCCAAGATGACCATTTTGACCATTTCCCATCCACAGGAGGAAGTGATGGTCCTAATGAGAAAGAAAGCCAAGGTATTCCATAAGAAGCTTTTTAAACTTTAACACCTCTTTATTTTTAGTGTGAAGTATATGATAACATCTAGAAGAGTTTCTAGTGCCAAATATTTGTATTGCAATGCAAGTAAACTATAGTGTGTAGTACATAACAATGTCTTGAAGAGTTTCAGGTGCCCAATATCTAAATTGAAACATAAGTAAACTACAGTGTGCATTTTGAGCAGTTTAATACCTAATCTGGAAGATGGGATAGATTACATTTTCAACTTTCCATGGGGAATGTCATTACTACAATTGTTAAGATTTATTAAGATTATCACTATAAGACATCTCTCTATGAATCCATTTTGACTTAACAGAGGAACCAAACAGAAGTTTTAATACTAACTAGACCACCCGTGATCCATTGGGTCACCCACTATTCAGAGGTTATGAAGAATTCAAGCTAATTTCAGTATTGAACCGAAATGAAGGTTATTCATAATTCAAGATAAGATACTTGATTGTTGATCGGGAGTAAAAGGAAAGACCATTTCATTTTTCAAAAAAGTGAAGTCAGAGTTTTCAGGTATTATGATGAATTAGTTCATTATGTGTGGTCTTTCCTCTTAAACCTTCTG